TTGCCCCACCTGGCCTCACACTGACCTCAACATTACCCCACACTGGCCTCAACTTTACCCCACACTGACCTCAATATTACCCCACACTGACCTCAACAGTACCTCACACTGGTTTAAACACTCCCCCACACTGGCCTCAACACCACCCCACACTGAGCACAACGCCAGCCCACACTGACCTAAACACCATCCCACTCTGAGCACAACACCACCCAACACTGACCACAACACCATCTCACACTGAGCACAACACCAGCCCACACTGACCTAAACACCATCTCACACTGAGCACAACACCATCTCACACTGAGCACCTCTGGCCTCAACACTACCCCACACTGATGTTGAAAATAGAACGATATTGCGTTGAACTTCGCCAAAGTGACAACGATCAGCTGCCTTTGCGCGCGCGATAATTGTGCGCATGTCCGGATATGGCCAAACGAGGCGATCGAAAGGTCAACATCTGGCGTGTGTTTGAAAGCAAATTGTCGGAAATTTCCAATATCTTAATCAAGTGTAATATTCAAAACAGGTGACTGTAAATAATGTCTAAATCCTCAAAGACAATACAACCTTTTTATCATGAAAGAATAACAAATTACATTGTTTAATCTTTTAGTCACATGATCATAACAGGTCTGGGTATTGAGATGGGTACTCGAGTCCAACTCATTACCCACCCGTCCCGGGTATCCGGGTTGCCCGTCCCAGCCCTATTACCAACATGTTATGCATTAACCTGTCTAAGTTTCCTCACAACTCAGAACTCAGTTATACGTGCAAGTACTGTTCGCTCATGCCGCCCTACGTTATAGCTTCGAGATTACGACGATTACGTTCCAGACAATGTCCCCATATTGTACACTGGCATGGAGACGAAGACAAGTAGAGCGGGGCTCTATGTGTGGCTGCATTCTTTACACTGTGATCACAACAGCTTTCTTATATTTGAAAATTTTACGGACTCCACCAAAAACGTTGTTTAAGAAACTATCATCATTGAAAAAGCAAAAGTTGTTATCTGTCGTGGCGGGGTGAAACCGCAGAAACGGAACAGCCACTATCTCGTCGTGCACGGGATACACATGCCTGATGAAAAATGAAGTTGAATGCTGACGTGAAACAGTTGATGATTAAAGTGTAAGATTTTTTCCGTGCTGAAGCCGAAAGGGGCAAACCATTTTATGCCATTAATAAATTCCGTAAGCGGGCAGCAAAAGCTTTAGGAGTATCAGCAAGGGTACTGACAAATGTTCTGGAACACAAACATTGTGAGTGTGATGCGAAGCGGGTGGGGACCGTGTCAAAATCACACAAATTAAAACATTTGGACAACTTTCAAAAGAACCTTGTAAGGCAGTCTATCAACAAGCTCTATTCTGAAAACAAATACATGTCGCTGAAATTTTTTAAAAAGCATTTGAAGCAAGAACACAACCTCAGGGTATCAAAGTACACACTCTGGCGACTCTTACACTCTTTCAGGTATCGTTATAAGAAAATTTCGGGGGGAAAATAGGTCAGTACTCTGTGAATGCCCTGATATCGTTCGCTTGAGAAATAATGTTTTCAGGGTTATAAAGAAGGAGCGCGAGGAAGGGTTCGTGCCAGTGTACTTGGACGAGACCTGGGTCAATGCCTCGCACACTGCCAGCAGTCAGTGGGTACCCGATGGGGGTGATAAGGGGTCACGTAGAAAGCTGCCTCTAGGGAAAGGAGAGAGACTAATCATTCTCCATGCTGGTTGCTCCAGCAAAGGCTTTCTCCCAGGGTGCGACTTGGTATTCAGGGCAAAGTCCACAGATAACAGAGACTACTATCGTAATGAACAATGCTCCATACCACAGCGTGCAGGACCCCGGCAGTAAAGCCCCGACATCGAACAGTCGAAAAGGTGATATGATATCATGGGAATTTCAGATCGCACGGCCTTCAAAGGCAACGAAGCCTCAGCTATATGAGATCATAAAAAACAACAAAGGTGAACCTTTCTACAAAGTTGACAGTTACATAAAAAGTAAGGGTCACAATATTGAGCAACTTCCACCCTATCACTGTGACCTTAACCCATTTGAAATGATATGGGGTATTGTCAAAGGAGATGTTGCCAGATCTAACACAACTTTAAGATTTCGTGACGTAGAGGTTTTGGTTAAGGAATCCCTTAACAAAATCACGACTGAAACTTGGCAAAACTGTGTCAGAAAGGTAGCTAACGTCATTGAACAAGGATACTGGTCTCGGGATGGCTTACAACAGGCAACTGTGGCACCACTTGTCATCCCTTTAAGTCGTGACTATGACACTACGACAGACGAGGAACCGACAGGTCTCCCAGAATAGATTTTGAGATGTTCCCCGCCATGACTGGCTGTTCCGTTTCCGCGGTTTCACCCCACCACGACAGATAACAACTTTTGCGTTTTCAATGATGATAGTTTCTTAAACAACCTTTTTGGTGGAGTCCGGAAAATGTTCAAATATAAGAAAGCTGTTGGGTATTAGTAAATGATAAACATGTGTACTATTTATATTTATGTGGCAATTTTGTACAATGATAAAATTTGCAACTCTTCGGTCCGTTTCTGACTCAGACGGATTGTACTGTCACCGCACTTCATGGATACGTGGATACTGTTCTGATTGAAATTTACAATTTTGGAAATCAATCCATCTTCAGAAATATATATTTTAGGTGGTCAATTAATGCTTGGAAAGGAAACATATAATTTAGTCGGTCAATTAATGCTTTGGAACGTAATACAGTGTACTCTGTCAATACCGGCATCACTCGGGACCAAATAAAAATGCCGGTTTTGACAGAGTGCCGGTTTAGGCGGGTTGCAAGTTCGCTTATGACGCCGGCGCACACGGGAAGTATTTTGTATTATGTGTGCCGATGACTGACTATTACACAATTGACATTATACGATTTTACCTTAAATACCCTCGAATCAACTAAACTCTTGCTGGTTTTTACAGTCAAGCTGCCCATGTAAGTGACACGTACCACTCACTAATTAACAAGACACTGATTGACACTTCCCGTTTCTGTATAATCTCGGGAGTCAATACCCTCGAATCAACAACATGTAAACACTTGCTTGTTTTTACAGTCAAACTGCCCACTACATGTATTAATTACTCTATGTAAGTGGTACGTACCACTCACTGATTAACAAGATACTGATTAACACTTCCCGTTTCTGAATAATCTCGGGAGTCACAGCGAATTGTGTTGTTACATCATTTGGACCTAACTGCATCAAAGGGTTACGCCATCTTTCATGTGCCGGTATTTACATATTCGTTTTCATAACAACTTGTTCGTTGGGACTGAAAAACAATGCCGATATCCTGAATAGACAGATGCCAATGTTTACAGATGTTTCTAAATGATAATTACGTGCATGTCTGCCGGGGCTGAAACTTTGTGCCGATGTAAACAGAGTGCCGGTGTTTACAGAGGCCGGTATTGCCAGAGTCCAGTGTATATAGTTTCAATTAACACTCAATTATTGATGTATCATTAAATGTGTGTTTTCATATCAACCATGTTACACGTCAAGGTTCGTTGCAATTGGCCCTTGATCGGCTGAAAGGACCTATTGCAAGGCCAATATAAACACAACGATATAATAGTATAACTTTGTTTTTCTCAAATTCAGTATATCAGCAGTATAAACACTTGAAAGATATCCAGTCAGGATGCACGTTCGACATCGATCAACACATATAATATACTGTAAGCCATTAAAAACGCAATTGGTATTTGTTGTCCTGAAACTAACAAAAGTTCCATTGAAGATTTTTGCCTGCGATACAGAGGATGTAGGGATAAAAGGCTGTTAATCTTGCCCATTTCGAGTTCGAGTCCCGGAGCATTCCTCTCACATGAACTTTGATACTTAAAACTGAATCTGTGACATTTCTCGTAAACACAACCACATTCATGAAACACGTTGTGCACATGCATTACCTGCACCCAGGCGCTGTAAAAGCACAAGGAATTGCGGAACTCAATCACTTTGAGAAAATGCCACACTTGACACAAGACGAAGGAATCAGGTTATGGGTATGGTCAGCCAAGGTGCTTCAGATGTGATGATTGCCAGGCACTTTAATGTGCATCCATCCACTGTACGTCGACTTAGACAACGTTTTCGGGCTACCGGAATGGTTGCTGATCGTCCGCGACCTGGTACACCACCTGTGATAACAGCTCGACAAAACCGCAATATCCGAGTTTCACACTTGCGAAATCGGTTCCAAACAGCTGATGATGAGGCAAGGAGGACAATTGGGACAAGTCAACATCATTTCAGCACCCAAAAGGTGCAAGGACGCCTTGCTGCCTTCAACATCCGGTGTCGTCACCCGTACCGTGGTCCAACCTTATTGCATTGCCACAGACTTGCCAGACAGTGATGGGCAGCAAATGGGGCCAATCTTGGCAACAGGACATGGCCAGATGTCATTTTGTCAGATGAATCCAGGTTTAACTTATCCTTTGCAGATGGTCGTCCACAGATTTATCTACATATAGGAGAAAGACTTGCGACAAACTGTGTCCTTGAACATGATCGTTTTGGAGGGGTGGTGTCATGATCAGACCATCAGAGGCTGCAGACCATCCAACAGCTGTTCCTGAGTAATGTGTGTCTTTCAATGCCCCAAAAACTGCGAGCATGTCTTGCATCGCACGGTGGACACACACGATATTGACTGCAAGTGACCCCTCCTTTGTTTGATGTCGTTGTTGCATCACTGATGTTGTTGTTGACTGGACATTTTCAGATGAAATTATTCACAAATGTTTACATAAAACATATCTGCCAGTTAGGTTTATATATGTTTCAATTGGTGTGAGAAAAGAAAGTATGAATGTCAAATTGCGTTTTTAATGGCTTACAGTATATGATATTAGAACACACATACAATTTACTACTAAGGGCAGAGTTTTGAATGTAAGGATGCAAAAGTTCGTATATTTTCAGAACTGCGCTGCTACGACTGCGTAACACCAAAACAGAGAAATGGCGACCGCAATGAAGCTACCCCGGTGTGGTGTGTGTGGCATCTCTTTCACATATGGCGGCCCAGACCCCCACCTCCTGCCCTGTCTCCATTCAGTGTGCCAGGAATGTCTAAATCTTGGCACCTCTGATACTCTGACCTGTGACATCTGTCAGGAAACATTCGACAAAGAACAAACTGATTTTCCTACCGATGTCGTTGCCATCAAAGATATCTTTCTCCAAACTGCTGAATATGATGGTTCAGCTGTGCTGTGTACCAACAAGGGTGACGGTAACCAAGCCATGTCTTGGTGTGGTGAATGTGAAGCCCTCTTGTGTGAGCACTGCCAAGCAGGTCATGAGGACATGAAGATAACTCGATCTCACAAAGTCGTCCCACTGGAAAACCTGAAGTCATCAGATGGAGTGCCGATTCCTAAGACTGCCTACTGCACTGAACACGTTGATCACCCTCTGCAGTTGTATGATGAGACGTGTGAACAGCGAATATGTTTCAAATGTAGGGAGAACCATGGCGTCTGCAAGGTGAATGACATAACCGAAGCATATCAACATCTGAAGGAGACTGTATTGGATGAAGAAAAGAAAGGCCTCGCAAAGAAGATTGAGACCATCAGCGCCATCAGGGAACAGATACATACAGTTGTCAAATTGTCAGAGACGAAAGAAGAGGAAGGGAAAGATTTCTTGAAACATACATTTTCCGATCTGAGAAATACGTTAAACCAGCGAGAAGAAGAGCTATTGCTTGAACTGGGTCAAAGTTTCAAAGCTGTATATGATGTGAATAACTCCCGGCTTTACGAGTTGGGAAAGAAGGAAGCCAAATGTGACACAGCCCTTGGCTACTGTCAGAAATTCGCTGATATGTCCAGTGTTGATGCAATCCTAAATGCCAAAAAGACAGTTCTTTCCAGAACCAGTGGATGCATTGCTGCCAAGGTTTCCCAAGTGAGTGAAAGAGAATCTTCAATAACTCTGTCAAGAAAGGATCTTACTGATTTGAAGCAATCGATTTCTTCTTTTGGCGAGTACTACGTACCCATGGATCCTCAGGCAGAAAGCCAGCATCACCCAGGTAGGAATTGTATATTTCTTGGATGCTGCAATAATACATTGATGTCCATACTGAAGCATTTTGCAATACTCGTTTAAGCAAGATGAATGTAAGTGTCGAGGGTATGAGCCATCCTGTCACTGCCAGCTACTATTTTGTTATTCCAGAGGGATCTACTATCAATGCTATGAAAGGGAATATAAAGAGACTTGAAGCAGATAACGTGTCACTCCTTGAGGTAATGTTTTTGTCAACAGCAAGAAACTTTTAAAACATATGGTATTTATATTCAGTACTGATCGGTCCACCTCAAATCTCAATTACCTCTGACTGAAAGTAATGATATAATCTCCAGTCGTCTAGCTAACATGTACATGTCATTCAGGGGATTGATTTTTGTCTCACCTTACCTATGGCTCCAGAACATTCATGTGTACGTTGTAGTGTATGAATGTACTACATCTCATTCCTCATTCAGGCTTTAAAGAGTCGCGGTCAACAGATCAAAGAGCTGACGTCAACAATGGAATCTCTAGGTAAGCCTGACTTCAACTCTGCAAACATAGATTTCAAGAATACAGTTGATTATGATACATGTTAGTTTGTCCGTGTGTTGGCTATGATTGCCCCACCCACCATGAATTCATATTCCGACATGATAAAATAAAATGTTGTCTCATTGCCGCTTTGAACCTTTCTGTCCTGTTGAGATGCTCTCAGTCCTACCAACTTATAAAAAACACATGTTGAACTATTTTCACTTTCATGACTATTAGTTTTTTGTGTTTATTTATTGTGTTATAAATCAAACAATATAGAAAACAATCCAGTTTTTTGTTGGTATTTCTGTAGAATGCTGTTCTCTCGGCCGGTGTCTTTCTTGTTTAGTGAGTGAGTGAGTTAAAAAAATTAAAGTCACTTTGGCAATATTTCAGCCACATTAATTAAAGGCAAATTATAAAAACCTGTCAACGAAGACAGTAAAGCAACTAGATTATCACAGATAGAAATTTAAAACTAGTAATTAAATCTAAACCACTTTAACTATACATGACAATACAATATAAAAACAACTGGAGGTAGATCACCATACTAGGGACCATGGGGACTTACAGCACATTTGCTTCCTGCATTCTTTCTTGCTTCAGTTGCTGGAGGGTTTGTGATGAGAAACCCATAAAACTGCAGATTGCCTAACCTGTATGAGTGGAGTTTGGACACCTAGAACATGGCATGATCTAAGCTGATAGTTTGCTCGTATTATGTTTGCCTAAGCTATGCGGTAAACGGATGCGATCATTCCCACTTTACTCCCACTAACTTCCATTGAACACTGTGTTGACACAGCACATAACAGAAATGGGTTAAGGTCGACATGAACATTATTCCTCACCTCTACACCACCCCAGTATCTATTTGAGCACCCCAGTGTGTTTAAGTATATAATGCCTATACATCCTTTGTAGTGCGCGTGTCCGATGTTGCTGTCCACTTCCTTCGCATGCCAGACGTCTCCTTCCCTGTGCCACTTCTTTGTAAGTAAGTTTTAGGATAAGTATTCATACTTGCGTAAGGTAACCAATTCAAGGGCGTTATCTGTATTGTATGATTGAAAAACTGATTGCTTGGATCATACTCGCAACATTCATAACAGATTTGTAGATACATACCGGATGATTTTACTGTTATCGTATGGCATGGTGACAATCACTGGATGGTCTGGTCAAGACTCGATTTGTTTGCAAACAACATCGTTCAGCTGAAATACTGCTGAAACAAGCATATGCTCATGATATACTCACAAGTGTATTAGTCGATATTTCTTATAAATGTGGAAAGGGTTTTGTAGCTTCTCTTTACATATTCTTGTCAAATTGTTTTCTTCTAGCTTCGCCGTGAGCCTGTGAACAGGATTTCACACATTAGACCGACTATATCTGGGTTTAGTGAATATTCACTTACTGATAGATCAGTATTTCTGTCACTGTTCTTTGATAACGTCGTCACTTATGCATTACGAACAGCATGACGGACCAACTTCGGTATTTCGTAGACTCTTGCAGCCTGAAGGTAATTTGTTTAGCAACTGTCATGCAGCGACATAATGTATCCTTTTAAGCACATACAACAATCAAAATGCTCGATACGTGGTTCAGAGTGAGTGAGTGAGTGGGTGAGTGGGTGTTTGGGAGGGGTCGAGGGATGGGTGAAGTACTTGCTTTAGAGTGATCGATAACTACTCCCTTGTAAATTGTGTTATATTTGGGAACACACTTTCTATTTAAAGTACATATTCTCATAATTTTGTCAAGTTGAATCCCATCCGGGTTACTAATCCCTTGCAAATTATGTGTGGTACGTAATACGATTGATCACTAGTTGTTCAAAATGGTCAATCAGGATAATAATTAAGGAGGGGTCAGGCAGATATTCGTAATATGGTATACTAAGTATGTCCGTGTGTTGTAGGTACACCACTGAAGTATGACAAAGACAAAGTCAATCTCGACAAAGTCCACATCAACACAGAAGGAGACCTTGTCGACAGGAAGTCGTTCACCAGAGTTGCAGGGAAGGGGAGACTGAAGAAGTACTGGGGCACATGCAGTACTGCCCCCCTCTCCCAGGATGGCTGTCCCCAGTACTGGGAGGTGGAGAACAGGGTCAGTCTGGACAAACTACTCTCAGAGAACCTGCTCATCCTGGAGGTTGGAGTATGTAGGGTGGAGCAGAGGGACGTGAGTCATTCTATAGGTGGACGTCCTCACTCCTACTGTATGATCGTCTCCTGCTGTCCTATACACGGCGGGATATGCAGGAAGATAGGGAAGGAGGGGAAGCGTGTGCTGTGTCTGCCTGACACTCTCCCCAACACAGCACCACACACACTACATTACGGTGTTGTCTATGATGACGCCAGGAAGAAGATTGTCTTCATTGACGTGAAGGAGAAGAAAGTCATGTCGACGTTAGACAATGTAGACTGTAGTGAACCACTGTGGCCGATGTTCGGGGTGTATAACTCAGGTGATGTCACAGTCAGCATGAAACTTGTAGTTGGCAGCGACATCAGCATGACGGAGGAGAAAAAAGCGATGATTGTCAAGGCGCTGTCGTGATGTCGTGACGTTAGAAAAATGTTCATGATAATGATCAATAAACATAGAGCTGTAGATAGTGAATACGCACTGCCGGGCCGGACTTCTCAAAAAGGTGGCTCTTGACTGAGTGGGCCGGACTTCTCAGAAAGGTGGCTCTTGACTGAGTGGCCTGCTCGAGCGGCCGGCCGGTTTACTTTGAAAAAGCACAAGACCTTTACATGGAAGAAGGTATAAACAGGCGGGATAAATTATATGAGAGTATATATACAATGACATAATAAATTCTACTGACCCCAAAGAACAAATGTCACTGGTAACTGAAATAGTCAAAATGAAGCATCTGCTATTTCCATGATACCGACAATCAATCTGACGGTGGCAGGCACCATTTCACTGCACAAGAATGAATTGACTGAGCCGTTCGTAAAATCACTTAGATGAACGCGTTTGGCAGGTAGATTTTGTGAACATTGTTTAAATGCTTTGATTAACTTCACACATAAGATTCGAGGACGGAAATTGGGTATCATGTGTACATATTTGTGTTATCACAGCTCGCAAGGATGTACTTGTAAGTAACTTAAAAAATAAGTTCATAATTTGATAAAAATACATGGAAAATGTATTGGTGTCAGTCTTTATTATACAGCCTGTGTTGGAGCGTGTACTTACCCCTTCATCGGGTTAATGAAAGCCAGGGTACATGTGAGAACGACAAAAGTAAAACAGATAACAAAGATAGACCATTTATAGGGAGGCCAATAGTCAGTGGGTGCTGGCTGGTACAGGCAAGAGGCGGGAAGCCAGGAGTAGATATGCACTGGCTGGTAACTGACAAAAGGAAGGCAGCAGGGTTGCCCTGGAGTTTGTTTGCTGTTTAACTCCGCAATAGTCCAACTATGTAAAGGTCAGTAGATAACTACGTTTAGTGCAAACAGTCCTGTGATCAACAGCATGAACATCGATCTACGCAGTTGGGATACGATGACATGTGTCAACCAAGTCAGCGTGTCTGACCACCCGATCCCTTTGGTCGCCTCTAATATAACCTGGATCTTCACAGGTCATGTTTTAAATATTAGATGCACACACATTAGATGCATTGAAAAAACGTTGTCAGTGGGTTGATGAGCAAAAGCAATATACTTTTCTTAGTAACGGTATAAAGTACTAGACAATGACAATCCCTTTCCCGAACACCTAGAGTCACAAAAGTGTGTTTCTTTTGATTTTGCTGAATGTAACTTACATGTCCTGACTGATTCCCAGACAATATACCCCCACCCCCTCTCAGTAAGGAACGGACTCTTATTTTCTTTTATATACGAGTGTGTGTGTGTTAACATTTCCACCATTCAGCTTGAAGAAGACAGATTTGTGGCATAACAAACAAACGATTTAGCCACAGGGCTCCGCTAAATACCCAAAGTGTTACATAATTTAGGTTCTTCTAATAGATATGCTGTTCGAATTCAATTTAGGTTTTGATAAGAATGTTGCATTTGATCAATATTGTATCGGATGAGATTTAACCTAACAAAAATGATAGAACCTGTGTAACATTTGATTACTTTCTAAATGACATTGTGCATCCATAGCTTTCCGACGTGGCTGACGTGCCAATTGGCACTTGTCAGAGACCACCAGTTGTCCGACTTCCATTCTTGTAGAAGTTGAGGTGGCTAAGTGGGTTAGATAGCTGACTTTGTGTGCTGGCGATTAGGTGCCTGACTATGAGGGTGTGGGCTCGAATCCCGGATGGGACTCAACCTAACAAACGTACTACAATCTGTACTTTACTGAGAAAGTGAAATTCCAGATATAACCTGTGTTGAAGCTTCTACGCACTGGAACTGATCCATGTTTACCATGTTTACCACACGTCCCAAACATACGGACAAGGAACAAAACATGATCAAGATTACATCTTCATATAAATCATGCAAAAGACAAACATACATACACTGCCATGTGTGGGTTTGAAGAAATATGCACGTGCTGGAAACGATTCCATCGGGAGTGGAATCACTTGTAAAACCTATCCTAGCACGTAGTGTCTATGGGAGTGTTCGTCGATCTCTTGCCGACGGACAGTTCTCTTCGTAAATGATTTTGAAGTCCATCATCAAAATGTATAGCAATTTACGTCGGCAAAGAAACCTTATGTAAGCCTGCCGTCAGGAATGTTTCTGACATAGTCTTTGACATAAGTTTCATCGCCACTGTCAATCTCTGGAATTGTCTAGATCGATACTGAATTAAAAATACCAGCATCAGTTAAGTGTGCAGCATCAAGTGCCCTCAGTCATCCAGTATTGACACGAACGTGGTTGCTGTACATACTAACATGCTGTCTTGTGTATATCTAAATGTTCTATGTCTCTGTGTGTGATTTACACAATGTATATTTCAAGATTCAATGTCAAATGTTGTTTAGTCGACATTCATATAAAAACCTATAAGGTACTTAGATGTTGGTTGTATTCCCTCGACTAGAAGTCAACTGGTCAGACAACTTCAGCGCACCACGACTATGAGTGACAACCCTTTGAGACATATTAAGTATCTGTGTGTATGTGATTGGTTCTCGGCGAAAAGGATTAGGTAAGAACTAACCAGATATCATTCCTGACCAGGAAGAAATCAGTTTGTTCCGCATATAAATTCATAAATTCGTTTGATCCGTCTTACAGTTAGGCTTAAAAGGAATTACTGAATCCTATCCTAAAGTACCAAGTGTTGTTATGCTGGATTTCCAAGCTCAATGACCGGTTTATGGAGGAGTAAACACGAAATCGACAGGAGAAATAAGTGGCCCAAAACTTATTTACAGTCATTGATAATAATTATCCATGGCTGACTACAATACATCAACATTTACAAAGGACCACACGGATTACAGGTCAAGGTTTTTTTTATGTGTCACAGATTTAATGGACATGCATTCATATATCCATTCATGGCTTCGTACGTGTCGGATTCTGCATATGGGGCCTCTCTATTATATCCTCAAAATGTGCAGGGTGAAGTTTTATACAGTAAACGACGCCGTTGGTTGACTAGTCTGGAAGTTGAGAATCGTCTGTGTTGCTCAGGGTATCAGTATCAGATTCTATAGGTCCGGAAGTTAACAGACATTTCCTCCCTTTTATAAAGAGAATATAAAGCAGATCAATAATCGTCATTACCAAGTATTTGTTTATCTTATTTGTGCAAAATGTGCGACGCTAACCGCTGTGGAAACACTGTTCATTGTGTTGTTTTGTTTCCATTTCATTGCCACATTATATTCCCCAGGCCTGTTCACTTATCACTAAATGACGTCAACACATATTTCATTACGTCACAGTATTCAAGCTTAAAGTTATATATCAGTCGTCACGTAAGTTAGAAAGATGTTAGAACTAGTGAAGATTTGATGCCTCAAAATAATGAATATTTGAAAAGCCCGACGAATTCAAAAACACATACTGGTTTTCTTATTGCTTCAAAAACATGCCAGTACCTTGAAATACCTAATAATACAGTTACGACCCACCAATACCTTCAAATCCTCCCCTTCCCTCTCCCTAATACATTGAAATATCCCACGACCACCTCTCAGTATCTCCAAATACCCCTTGTCTTTAATCCACTATATGAAGATCTGTATAACAAGAAGCCTTCTCTTGTTCCACCTCTTGGTATAAGAGTGAAACCTTTCCTTTCTGCTGCTGGCATTGAGCTAAAACATATAGCTCCTTCCCGTCTTATTTCTTCTCCTCCTTGGCAGTTGGTGAGGCCACACGTTGACTGACTAACTGAGTTTGGTTTTACGCCGCTTTTAGCAATATTCCAGCAACATCACGGCGGGGGACACCAGAAATGGGCTTCACACATTGTACCCAGTGACCTTACACTGACAACATATAAAAAATCTGAAACAAATGAATTACAGTATAAACAAGAAGTTAGTCAATTAAGAAATAAATATAATACATACAAATCCCTATTTACAGATGGGTTCAAGGATGGTGGCGCGGTTGCTTGTGCCACTGTCATTGGATCCTGAACAATATCTTCTCGACTACCAAATAATAGCTCTATTTTCACGGCAGAAGCTAACGCCACATTAACAGCTCTTAAATATATAAATAAACACCGTAAATATAAACAATATATCATCTTTTCCGATTCTCTTTCGTGTCTTCAGGCTATTAAAAATCTTTCTTCCAAACATCCACTTTTATTAGAAATTATTGAATTGTATAATGAGCTTGCTACTGGCCAATGTGACATCATCTTTTGTTGGTTACTCAGCCACGTTGGCATTTCTGGGAACACCATGGCTGATCTTGCTGCTAAGGCAGCACTCAACAAGTCTGTGACACCACTTCTTATCCCATATTCTGATCACAAAGCTAGCATTAGAACCTACATCCGTGATCTGATGCAGAAGAACTGGGACACCCAAGTAGGTATTAATAAATTACATGCAATAAAACCCTACATTGGTTACGCCTACTTGGGTTGTCAGTCCAGATTTGAAGAGGTCATTATGCGGAGATGTCGCATTGGCCATACTAGATATACTCATGAATATTTATCGAAAGGCGAAGATCTTCCGTTTTGCATCCCTTGTGATGAAAGAATCAGAGTCAAGCATGTCTTGCTTGACTGCATTGAATATTCCATCACAAGGGATAACTATTTCAAAGTAAACACTATGAAGGATCTTTTTAATAATGTCAGTTCTCATTTAATCATTGCATTTTTAAAAGAATTAGATTTTTTAAGTGATTTGTAAATAGATATATATTTTATTATTGGTAGTTTAAATTAGTAACTGAGATTGTTAGTGGCTGTACCCTCAAAGGGGGTTGAAGTAGCGTAAAATTATTGTCCTCCTGAGAGGGTACGTAAGTCCCAAAACATTTCAAGTCAGTTTAAGTGTACCAGGTTTTTAATCATAGTATTTTTGTGTTTTTAATGTATGGCTAAGTCTCATCATCAACGCCAATGGCTGAAGGGATGGTGTGAATCCAGCTAGGGTCCATGCAGGTAGCAAAAGTAATGTAAGTCCCCATGGGCCTTAGTATGGTGATCTACCTTCAGTTGTTGGCGATCTATAGCCCGTATTTTATATTGTATTGTCTTCTTTAATTGGAATATTTTAACTTTGCGCTAGTTTTATATTTATAACTGTGATTCTCTAGTCTTTTTACTGTCCATCGTCGACAGGTTTTAATCTTCAAAATGTTTCCACTTTTTATTGTATGGCTTGTTTTCGTCACGATATGGCTGCAATATTGCCGATGTGACGTTAAATATTAACTCACTCACTCACTCCAAATACCCCTATTACATTCCAATGCCTACCAATACTTACAAGCTATTCCTTTATATGATTGAAGACTGTGGTTGTGCCTTGTAGCTCATTGTACTGTGGCTGATGTCTGCAATGCCTATTTCATACAAACCTATGTTTCAGAACAATGGCTTTCTGCGTGCTTGCAGCACAGGTGTATGAGTAATCCCTCGGATATTGAAACAACCATGGAAATGATCACATGTATTGAATATGTACATTTCTTGAGAAGCAGGTGTAGTTGTGCTTTGACTGTGAAATGGCGCAATTGACCGT